GAGTTTGGGAGGAAGCAGCTCAAACCAGTGGGAACATGCACTTAGCTGATAGAGTATGCTCAGAGGTTCCCTTAGTCCAGGAGCCCATGCTTTCTTCTCTTCTCCATGTTTTTTTCCTTTGTGTTATTTCACAAGAGGTAGAAGGGAGAATTTTGGGTTCTTGGAAGGAGACAGAAAATTCTGGTTTTGCTGATTCCCAACCAAATGATATGAGCAAATCTTTTAATGTCTCAGAATCTAAGTTAATTCTTCTAAAAAATGGGGCTCAAAATATATGCATTGCCCATTGTATAGGGTTGTTAAGACCCAAATGGAGTTGTAATGTAAGGTAAAGATGTTTGATTAGGATGGTCAACCTTCTCTGTGACTTGGACAAGCTGGGGGAATGGAGGGCTTTTTGTGTGTTTTCATGCTGATTTGGTCCCTTGCAGGTGGAAAGCACCATGGAGCAGAACTTCCTGCAAGATAAAGAGGGTGTTTTTCCCCTGAGACCTGACCTGCTCTCCTCCCTAGGGGACGAGGAACTGACCCTCACAGAAGCTCTGGTGGGGCTGAGTGGTCTGGAAGTACAGAGATCAGGCCCCCAATACATGTGGGATCCAGACACTCTCCCCCGCCTGTGTGCACTTTACGCTGGCCTCTCCCTCCTTCACCTGCTGACCAAGGCCACCTAATGTGCCTTCCCAGTCTGCTTCCCCAATACCTTTCCAACCTGTGCTGTGTCTATAACATCACAAGACACTACAGAGCCTCTGAGCTGAGGGTAACTGAAATTCCTGCTAGTTACCCATGATTACCAAGTTCTACCTGCCCTACCATCAATCTCCTCCTACCCTCCACCGCAGCAACCCATCTGTGCATGCCTAAATCCTGAAGATGTAGAATCATTCAAACCTTTAAAATTTTGAGCCATTTCAACAAAGCCCAAAAAAAGAGAAATGAAAAAGAAGGAAGGGAGGGAGGAAGGAAAGAAGGAAGGAAGGAAGGAAGAAAGAAAGGAAGAAAGAAGGAAAGAAAGAACACTTTAATTTCCTATTCTAATCCTTCCCACTTGTACCTCAAAAACAAAATCTTACTGGAATGAATGGAAAACATTACAGCAATCTTAGGACATGTCATTTGGTGATTTTCTTTAAAGGAAATTATTAATTTGTGCCAGGAAAAGAAATAAACATTATCCACATGCACATGATATTATTTACACTGTCCTCAGGTTGGCTGGAAGACGCTGTGGGAGCTCTAAGGGAGTAGAATGTAGAGCGGCCGTCCTACAGTAAAAAGCTCACCAAAGTGCTGGGTTCACTGAAGAACTGGTGTCCACCAGCCCTGGTGAGAAGGGGAAAGGTCTAGAGATGAAAGGGAAAGGTCTAGAGATACCTGATACAACCACAAAACAGAAAAATGGCAATTTCAAATTTGTTGCCTAGAAAATGCAGGTGGATCTTAAAGGGTGGGGGCACCCAAGAACAAGGTTGACCCAAACTCTAAGTGCTATTTGTGGTCACTGTTCTTTCTCCACCCTCAATTCAGAGTGGTCATGGGGGGAAATTGAATGAATAGACTTGGTCTATGAACCTGTGTATTGTAATATAATCTCATCAAACTGCTGGGTTTGTATCACTCTCCTCTGCCTAAAGCAGGGTTTGAACATTTACTTATTTACATGGATTGATTGAGTGACTCTGTGTGTGGAGGGTACCATGCACATCACAGCATACATGTGGAGGTCAGAGGACAATTTGCAGTTGTTTCTCTCCTTCCATCATGTGGCTTCCAGGAATCTAACTCAGGTCATCAGACTTGGCAGCAAGTACCTTTACCGCTGAGACATCTTGCTAGCCCACCAATCTCTTAAAAGTAGTTTTATGAATACAGTAATATCTCTAAGGCTTCAGGCCCCAGGAGTCAGACTCCTGCTTCTTACATACCCCCTGCCTAGGCCAGCTCCCACACACACCAACACAAGCTGCCAAAAGCTTTGTATTAAGCCAACCTCCCCTATTCTGGACATCTTCCAAAGCCTCACTATATTGCTCATGGATCTACTGGGTTGTTATCTGCTGACTTGATTGCTTGTTTTCCTTGTGATGTAAACTTAATAGAGAGGTGAGCTAACATCTCAACCATCCAGAAGGGTAACTTCTTTGCTTACAAGGATGAACAACAAAGCTTGTCTGTTTTCTTACCTTTACCATGCTCGCCCACATTCCAGCACAGATACAATGTTATAAAGCTATTTAAGGAGTTTTTTCCAGTGATGATTCAAAGGTTCTGTTATCTGTCCCCCAGTCCTGAGGGGAAAGGGTGAGAGTACAGTTTGAAAGGAATTGGTCCAGGTATGCGCCCTAAAACTGGAGCACATATTTTTCTGTTTGGTAAGTGGCTTTTTAATACAGAGAATTATTTGTCACACTACAATGAAAAGACTATAAAAGATATGTAGGAGGTTAGAGAGATGGCTCAGCAGGTGAAGGCCCTTGTTGCCAAGCGTGACGACCTGAGTTCAATCCTTAGGACCCATGTGATGGAAGGAGAGACTAAACTCCTGTGAGTTGTCCTCTGAACTCCACATGTGCACATTTACCACTGAGAAATCTTGCTAGCCCACCAATCTCTTTTAAAGTAGTTTTATGGAGTATGAGTGCCCCTCAACTAAATAAATAAATGCAAATTTAAAAATGTATGATGCCTGGGGCTGGAGAGATGGCTCAGTGGTTAAGAACACTGACTGTTCTTGCAGAAGAACACCCACCCCAGCACCCACATGGCAGCTAACAACTGTCTGTGACTCCAGTACCAGGAGATCTGACATCCTCTTCTGTCCTCCTCGGGTATTACATGACACGGGTGCACTTACCTACATGCAGACAATACACACATACACATAAAATATTTTTTTTAAAAAAGGTATGATGTCCAGTGTATACATAAATACACCAGAGAGCTGGTTCTGATACCTTTAATTCCAGCACCCGAGAGGCAGAGGTAGGCGAACCTCTGTGAGTTCAAGGCTGGCCTGGTCTACAAATCAAGTTCCAGGCCAGCCAGGCCTGCATAGTGAGACTCTGTCTCAAAAACCCAAAAATGAAGGCCAGAGAGATGGCTCAGCAGTTAAGAGCACTGGCTGCTCTTGCAGAGGACCTGGGTTCGATTCCCAGCACCCACATGGCAGCTAACAACTGTCCATAACTCCAGTTCCAGGGGATTCAACACCATCTTCTGACCTCTATGGGCATTGTATGACAAGGGTGCACTTACATACATGAAGGCAATACACTCATACACATAAAATAAAAATAATAAATAAATTTTAAAAAAACAAAATGAAGCAATTTAAATAAATAAATGAAATGAAATAAATGACATAAAATAAAAAGGAAATGTGAAGGACAATATAGTGAGCATTCTCTGTCCTCTGAGTTCCTACAGAGGTGTGTTGGGTCAGTCTGAGTTCTGAAACTCAGGACTTCCATTTACAGAAGAGATCAAGGTTCCAAGACAGGAGTTTTTGTTTTACACTTTGAGAAACTGGGACCTGTGTCTTCAGTAAGATCCCTGAAGGAGACTCATGGAAAAGGATGGGGAATGTATATAAATGTCTGTAAGTGCATCACGTGTATGCAGTGCCTGGGGAGGCCAGAAGAGGGCGTTGGATTCCGTGTAACTGGAGTTGCAGACGTTGTGAGCTGCTGTGTGGGTGCTGAGCACTGAACCCAGATCCTCTGCAAGAGCAGTGCTCTTAACTGTGGGGCCATTTCTCCAGCCCCAACAAGTAACAGTTAAGAGCTGATTACAGACATAGAGGCCCATGCCTGATCCAAACATTACAATGTTTGTTTTTTACATTTATTTATGTTAGAGTAGGGTGAGGGGCTTGCATGCCACACCGTGCTTGTGGAGAGCAGAGGATATAACTTTTGGTCCATCATGTTGACCCGGGAATCAAACTCAAGTCAGGCTTGGAGGCAAGTGCCTTTACCCCGCGGAGCCCTCTTGCCGTCTCACATTACATTCTTGAACTGGGTTTTTCAACAGTCCTACGCTGTGCTAGCCCTGGGCTGTATACAACGTGGACTGGAGTGATTTTATACCAGTGTACCCAATGCCACCACACTCCCAGGCTGAAAAGATCGTGTGGCTTATTTTCAGCACTAAACAAAACTTTTGGCAAGGAAGTTTGGATCCCATAGGCGGCTATCCGAGTTCATTGTTTTGCCCAACAGCCTAGTCCCAGTCTCTCCTCCGCTGCCCCCTTTTCTTCCTTGTTCTGGGAGAGCGGGGCGGCCAGGAGTTGAGAGCACGAGCCTGGGAGATTTCAAAGGGGATCCTGCTTGCTCAAAATAAATAAATAAATGAATGAATGAATGAATGAAGTCTGGAAAATAAATAAATAAATTTTAAAAATAAAAATAAATAAATAAAGTAAAATAAAATAAAAACCCTCCCGGCAACTCGTGACGTCATCTGGCTCTTGTTCGATGGGTACGATCCACTCCGCGCAGGCTGGCGGTTCTCTTTGAGTCTGTGGTAGCCCAGGTTGGAGCCCGAGGGGACCTCTCCTGGACAACTAAAGAAATGCACTCGAGAGGCAGATAAAATGAGCACACTTCAGCTCGTCAAAGTACCCCTCAACGCTTGCGAACTCCTCCCCTTTCCTGGTAGATCCGCCTCCATCATCACCTCGGTTGTTGATTTCTTTCCCCTTTTCTGACTCGGTCATCCGCTGCCGGGCCTGGTATTTCCCAGAAGACCCAGCGCGGGGAAGGAATTTGCAGCTGCTCGGTCATCGTGCGGCCCGACGCGAGCCCGCGCTCGTGTGCAGGCCCTCCTCGGTGCGTGATCTCTGGTGCGAGTGTTTACGCGAGGCCGTTGCCTCGGTCCCGGACTAGGCCACGACCCCTGGCGCCATGAAGCAGGAGGGTTCGGCGCGGCGCCGAGGCGCCGACAAAGCAAAGCCGCCGCCGGGAGGGGAGCAGGAACCCCCGCCGCCGCCGGCCCCCCAGGATGTGGAGATGAAAGAGGAGACAGCAGCGGGTAGCGGCTCAACTGGGGAGGGAGACGTCAAGGCAGTCACGGCCGAACACTCCCAGCGAGAGCTGGACACTGTCACCTTGGAAGGTACGGGAGCCCGGGTCCGGGACGTGCCAAGATCACGGGTGACAGCGGCCCCGGCGGTGCGGCTTCTCCCTGGACCCTGCGTAGCCTCCACAAACCCGGGTTCCTTGTGTTCAGTCACTGGGACTGGGGTCGGGAGTGCCCGGCCCTGTTACCCTGACCATCCCGACCCCAGGCTGCGGACTACTCTCATACCCCTCCTCTCATCCGGGGTTGCATCTAGGTCTCACTGAGCCTTTTCTTCTGCCTTCCCCTTGGATCTACTCCGAGTACATCCCATCCAGCTGGTTCCAGCGCCTCCAAATGTGACAGAGCTCTGTAGAAATCAGCGTTTGTCTTTGTGTCTATAAAGAGGCCAGAGTAATAGTAACACTGGCCCTTTAGTTTTTAAGAGTTTATGAAAGGTTTCTGTAGATCTAGCTGCCCTTGGAGAACTCCCCTAGAAGAGCCTTTTCTACCTACCTTATGTTGCTTCCTTATTTCTGTAGTTGAAGTGTCCAAACTGTCCCGTTGCCCTTTTCCTCTCATTTCAGGTCTTTAGTCCCTCAGTTTCTGAAGGGTTTAAACACATACATACTCTCAACTCTGAATTTTTGTCATCTTTTTTTGAGTTTTTAAGGCTTGCCTTTGGCCTTAACTCCTGTATGCCACTACCACTGCTCCCATTTTTTTTCCCAGATGTGAATTCTTTGTTTCCTCCTGTCCTCTTGCTCCTCAAAGTTGCTGTTCCACTTTTCCCACCCATAGCATCCTGTCCAGGTTAGGAGTTGGGTGTCCTGAGAACTTCTTACTGTGACCCTTCTGCTAAAATAGTCCTGAATCAAATATGACCAGACTCTACTGGTTTTTAGTTTGTTGTGTTTGTTTTCCTCCTTAATTGCACAAGAAGCTACCTCAAAACATTGGCATAAGCAAAGCTGTGCTCCTGTGTGCTACTTTTGAGGGTGTGTTAATGTTGACTGCATTAATTCCTGCTCCAAAAGTTGGCAACAGGATAGGTGTAAATAAAGATCCTTTTACCTGAAACAACAGTAGACAATGGCAAAAATGTCATAGGCATTGTCTG